CGACGGTGTTGGTCCAACTGTAATTTATGTTTGTAAACAGTTCTTTCAAAAAGGATAATGTCGTCCTACAATAAGGGCAATGTTTAACAAAATGACATAAAAAAAAAACATTTTACGTAAAGGTTTACTATAAGGAAAACCATGAGGTGTGTAAATTTGATGAAGTCATTAATTAATAAAAAATGTTTGCAGTTTCATAGTCACTGTTAACTTCTTTTATGCTTTGTGCTCATTGCAGAAGTACTGGTATTAAAAACATTTATATGGAATATTTATTTTAGTAAACACTCTGATGTATCCGGTTCGGAGCTTGGGCAGCTCCGAGAATTCTGGTTGCTGTTTAGAAGCAAAAAAAAAGACTGTTTCGTCAACCGCCTCTGACACATTTACTTACGGCACAAGGTCAATGAACTGTGACCATTAATTATAATGAACAATAATTGTTGCGTTATGTGATAATTAAATGATAATGCAAAATCTTATTGATCTCTAATTTTTCGGTAAATATAATTATTTGACGAGATAAGCTTCTGAGTTAGACTTGAACGGACAAACACACAGTTTTATAAAATTTTTCTTTTCTCTATTCCATATTATTTTAGGAAAGCAATACACTACACAGCATTTTTACTACCCTGGTACATTTTATAACTCCCAGTTATAAAATGTACCAGGGTAGTAAAAATGCTAATAACTCCCAGTTATAAAATGTACATATAAACATATATATACATAGGACGATTTTTTTGGTGTTGCCAGGATTTGGAACTGACGTCGTGTAACGCACCCAGACGGTTAATTCAGTCGATTACAAGACTGAATTAAGCGATATTCTAACGGCGTGAAAATCTCGACAACTGCCGAAAAAGAGTTCTTGGTACCACTTAATAAGGTACTTTATATTTTGAACGAGTCTATCGCAGTATCGGACGACTCCACTAGGTGGAGCGACGTACAAATGTGCGGGAAGTCGATGGATGCAGGTGGCTCAGGATCGTGCTTCGTGGCGGTCTGTTGTGGAGGCCTATGTTTAACAGTGGACTCTAACAGGCTAAAATGATGATGTTGATGATATTTTGAATGAGAGGTGTCGCCATCGCTTTGTCGAAAAAAAATAATTTCAAAAATTTACCAATTAAACTCTCATTTTAATTCCACTTTAAGTGCATACTAGAATAACAAAAATCTATTAACAAAAAAGGTCGTACCCAATTAATGTCTTTAACATTTTTTTATTTTATTACAGCCAACATTTCCGCGCATTTTGTTAAACGGCGCACCTCGCGAAACGTATGCGTTTCGCGAGGTGCGCCGTTTAACAAAAAAAAATCAACGACGCTTATTATTCGATCGCTTAAGAATCGGGGACGCGTGCACCCTGAATGAATTTCACGATAATAACCAGTAAGTTACGATACGAAACGAAATCGTAACGGAGAGGAAAATCACGCGTATTTGTCGCAGGTGCCCGAGCGGTGCGCAGAGTGAGGCGGGTTAGCGAGCGCGGGTTCCGTATGATTATTTTGTACAGTGCATGCAATTAATTTGCATTGAAATGTTGAATTTGGTGAGATCCCAAGGCAGTCTCATACAGTTAACTATACTGTCACAAAAAGGGCTCTGACAACTGGATCGTGCAGAACTTTTAATTAAGTTATTTACTTTAACTCGCTTAATTTTCTACGTAGAGCAGACGATTATTTTCAGGACACGTATTTTTTTTTTAAGTTGGGACTTATTCTTTTATTTCTATGAAAAATCAGTTTAAATCGAAATTAATTCACAAGTGCTTGAAGTCATTGAATGTTACAATGTAAACTTCAATGCCAATCGCTCGTAGTTACTATTTTCCCAAGTCCTTAACGAATTGCCAATTCATCCTATCAGTTATATCAATTACCGCGATTCAAATTTTTAAGAGGGTAATGGATCAGTCCCCTCTAGTAAGTCGTAACGTTAAATGGTCATTTAAAATTTCAGAATTCAAAAATCGAACAGAACGGATGCGTTTGGAAGCTGTCCGCTCTTATTTAAAAAGAAAACAGATCCATAGAATACAATAGCGTAAATGATTTCGACACACGTTTGTCTCATTTTTCAATTGTCAAATTTGACAGATAGTGGCATACATTAAAATGGTTCGCGATATTAAGCGGTATGCGGTGAGTTAAATAAACTACAATTCATCGAATTAATTTCGCGATAAATATACTTATCACAGTCAAAATTGATATTTTCCACTGCAGCATTTAAATTCTAAATTCGAGAAAGATGTTTTTTACTGTTTTAAGAGTGTAAAGTTAAGACTGAAAAAAAAATTAAATCTGGAATGGAAATTACTGTGGAGTGAATAATATCACTTGATATTCGAGATTTCTTATCATATAGTTAATTAGATAATGAAACAGTAATAATCGTATTCGGTTAAGTTGTAGCACCTTAAATTAATTAACTGTATGAGAGTTCGATGTAAAGTCCACCACACAATACAAAATGGCAAAGGAAGTATTTTTTTAAATTCAATCAGTATGTGCGTAACTCCAAAAGCGTTCGGGTCAGCAGCTTCATCAACCTGACCTAGATAGGGACAACCTTTGAGGCAAGCCGACGCGTGTAGCTCCAAGCCAGCCGAGCGAAAAAGACACCAAATTTGCTGCGAGCGTTGCCCAATCGAATGGTTTGTCTACAATACAAAAATTTTTAGCGGCCAGTTCATATGGTCGTATCATACATGTCTCGAGTTCTTAAGTACGTTTACTTATTTGGTTTCACTCGTTGATACTTTAATGATGTAGAGTACACACATATTTGAATTCAGGTAATCATCATCATCTCACTATCACACTTAGGTGGGTTTGGTTGAGAATTATGTAAGTGGTTTTGGCTAGGGTTTTTACAACCGGGCCACCCGGGACGTCAACCTTCTTTGAGAACAAACACCCAGATCCGCAACAAATATCTGTGGGAATCGAACCCACGACCTCCGGCACCGAAGCCTTAGAATAGCGAATAGCTTAGCAACTGCGCCACTGAGTCATATTAAAATAATGCAAAAGAATACACTCTTGCTGGGGACACTTTTGTGACGTGACCAGCTTACCAGATATATCCGATGACGGTATGAATGATCAACTAATAATAACAATTATTATTATTATTAGTAGTATAGTATTAGTAGTAGTATATTTAACCGGCCACTTTTGTATTCATGAAATCTCAAATGTGATAGAAATTTCTACATAATGATTTTTTAAACAGATCTGACACTAGTTGACTAATTTGAAACTAGTAGTGTTTACAACTTTTAAGACCGTGTATTAATTGTTATTGTGATTGTAAATTAATTTACAGAACAATGGTCAAAACACGGACAATTTAGTGAATAATGTTTGCCGTAATAAACATACGTTCAAATTTTAATCTACCTCGTTACTCATTAGGATTCCAGAGCCGCTTTTCTACCTTTTGAGTATTTTTTTTGTAAATATTTAATATCTCCTTGTCTTATTATTTCATTGTATTTCTAAGTAGAAAGCTATGCAATTTCTTGGGAAGAAATCTGATTTTACCACGACAGCTCAAAGTACAGGCGCTCTATTTTAATTCAGTTGATATAATCGCGCAACCTGAGTTCAAATACCAGCGGGATATTGAATTCCCGGCAATCATGAAATTCTTAATTCATATTTTCCAGTCCATCGGTGAACCATCGTCTTAAGTTCAGTGTGTGTAAGAAATAAATTAAGATAGAATATTTTATCTATTGGCAGCCATACAATAATCAGCATAACAAATATTGCACATCGACCTTTGAAAAGAGAAAACCGTCTAATTTTGCCTTCGTAGAGCGTTATCTCTGTCACATCAAACGTCACATATGTAGGTAGTGTGTGACAGAGATACCGCTCCACGAAAATGAAATTAGCCGACTGTCCCACGCGTGAACAGTTATCGCCGAGTACTTTATTTACATTACCTACCGCAGGTGCGTCCAGCGGCAGACTATGATTTCGTGTTATATATAATTAAAGTAGTTGAAAAAAATATGTATCTAGTCCGGTTCAAATCTTATTTTTATTACGATAATTGTTCTGTATGTAATAGATTACAGAACTCAGGCTCTTTCAAGTTGAATTTGATGTATTTTAAACATATTTGTTATTTTTTTGTTAAAAAAATTGCCCCGCTTTTGTGAGTTTCTTTCGCCGGTTCTTCTCGGGTCAGTCGTTTTTTTTCCAAACCGGTATAAGTGTTTTTTGACAATCAATAAGTAACTGTGATGCTTCTATATTGATTAAAGATACTCGTATTTGAATGTGAGTTTGTACTCTTGTTGGATTTTCACATTATCTTAATGTAAGATACTTTCGAAACGTTCAATTTTTGTACTTAATCAATCCGTTAATCAATTGGCGAGGCGCGAGCATTTGTTATGCAATTTTTATTCGGTTAATTGAAGACGATAAATTCGACATTAACTTGTTATAATTAAGGTCGACTTTCGAATGTCAAATGTCAACTTGTTCCGCGTAATAGTTGTTCATTGTGACCCCTATTCTGACGGGACAATTTCGGACACAGTGATTGATTAATACGCCGGTACTCATAAAAATAAATCAATGGATGTTCGGTAATACGGCCATGTTTAATACTGAATTTATGTATATATATTTATTTAGCTTAATGTATGATGACTTTATTGGCACAATTTCTAAGCTGTTATTGCCTGTAGTGGGTCGTGGGTTCGATTCTCACACGAGAGAACTATTTGTGTGATATCGTTTCCATATATTTATCTAACGGTAAATGTATAGAATACCACCGCTGTAAGATTACATTACTAAATTACGACGATTATCTCCTATCGTACAAACATTTTTAATAAGTCAATTGTACACGAGCCACCACATCTTGACAAAGTATGACTAACAAATCAAATGAGAATCAAACCGGCGACCCACAGTTCCGAAATCAATCTCACGGTGACCGTGTCATCCCTACGAAACGGACATAGAACTGTCAGTTCCACTCTCATCGACTTGGGGATCTTCGGCCGATGAAAGTCCGCCGTTAACTACAACACTTATGTCGGACATCGCATTAGCGGAAACTCTGAGATAATCTCGCGCCTCCATCGCTTGCCGCTTTATGTCCAACAGGGCCTATCGCACGTCATCCATTAGGCAGATATCGTCGGGGCGTTTTGGTCAAGTTTCGCTTTGTTGCATCGCGGCCCATGTTTCCGGTGGACGTGGACTTTCTAAATCTGCCGCGAAGACCGCGACTGTCTGTTTGTCGCGTGTAAAGAGCTTCGCCCACACGAGCGGCGAGTGCTTCGACGTGTCAACCTATGTATGTAAATATTTTAGGATATTTCGGGACACATTTTTACACAACGTTCTCTAGTCCCAAATTAGGCAACGCTTGTACTATGGGTACATAACTGATAAACATATTTAGAAAATATTTTCGACTAGTTTTCGCCCGTTGCTTCGCTCGCGTTGAAGCCCTTAATAATAAATTAATTAATATAAAATAAATATGTTTCAACCCTTTACAACACTTTTTTACAATTAAAATATCGCCTATGTCTTTTCTCAGACTATCTATGTACCAAATTTCATTTGATCGATTTTGTAGTTTTGGAATGAAAGCAAGACAGACAGACAGACAGAGTTACTTTCGCATTTATAATATTAGTATGGATTAGCTGAATAGCGTTATCAGTCAAGTGGTTCTTTATCTCACCAAATCATCATCGTCCTCTCGCCCTTATCAACTAGTTAAGGTCAGCACTTCATATAAATCATGTTGCTAGTAAGGACAAGCCGTCTACTTGCCGTCAACCCACCCTGGGGACTTTTACCTTACCAAATGAAGTATTAATTTGTAGGAGCACGAGCAACTCGGCCCGGCTTCGCACGGGTGCTATGCTGGATGTTTGTTTTCAACATCGCATTAGAAACCTCTTAAGTTATCAGTGTTTCTCTACTATATTATGCATGAATTATACATATAAATATTCCTCTTAAATCACTCTACCTATTAAAGAAAACCGCAACAAAATCCGTTGTGTAGTTTTAAAGATCAAGTATATATTATAGGGACAGACAGACAGCGGGACGACTTTGTTTTATACTATGTAGTGAAGTGTCTTACGTTACTAGTGTTACTCATCTTAATCCTTCGAACGTAAAAAGACATACAAGGGCTTTCAGGCTTTCATGATTTTAGTACAACGATCAAATATCAACCGTTAACACATCGTATGCACCGAATTCGGCTATGAGAATTAAATTCAAGGCTATGTATTTATGTTTGGGTTTCTCCTCTATAAAAAATTGTCTTAGCTTATAATTAGTAGACTTAAAAGTTCTGAGATATATAATAAAGTGAAGTCACTCAATAAAGTGAAGTCAAGAAGAAGAAACACAAACTCAACTCAGCGGGAGTTGAGTTTGTGTTTCTTCTAATTTATTTTAGAATCTATTATACAGACTCATACTGGATACAGGGTCCAATCTCAACAATACAAGGAGAGGTTATGTGGGATATGATTATTTATTATGATTTATTAATAATTTGCGAAAAAAAGGTACCAATCTGTTTTTCTCCTTATAGCTTCCTTAGCGTGCTTTGTGTATTTACTTAACTGTTTAGTAAAAGTCATTTGATATTGTGTGGTGGAAATGGAATAGAACATCTCAAAGGTTAAAAACATGTCTATTTCTTAAGGTTAACTCACAATAACTATCATTGTGTTTTATTAACGTGGTCCAAAATGCTTTATTTGCGAATGTGTTTTTATTGATATGGTGTTATCAATCGTTAGCCAAATAAATTTGCTAGGCAAGATACAATATTTAATTGAGGCAAAAATTTGTATCACAATGCTGACAAGGCTATAAATATTTATTATTGCTACCAAAGCGAAGCCGCAGTGGATATCATGTGTTACTTTACGACGAATTCGAATCGATTACATGTTCTTGGATAATACAAATCTTTTAATTTTTTCGCGTAGACGAAATATGTCTCTTAAACGGCTTTTACTTTATTTCTCCCGAGCCGGAACTGAGCTAATGAGATTGCGCGGGGCCCTTCCGCATTGCGGGCCCATTGTAAACATTCGGCCGCTGAGGTCAACGGATAGAACGACGGTATTCTGTATCGTATCTCGGCCGGAGATCGGACATCGCATTGTATCGGCGCTTGGTATCGCCGCGTTATGAAATGTCCACTCTTACGACGGGCGGCGGTTGGTGTTAGTTTCAATAACGTCACTGGTTTCCATTAAAGCCTTTCAATAAACCGTATCTAAGGCTTTATTCTTTTCAGCCGACTTCAAAAGGAGGAGGTTCTTAATTCGACTGCATTTTTTTTTTGTTTGTTACCTCAGAACTTTCGACTAATTGAACCGATTTTGATAATTCTATTTTTATACGAAAGCTGGTGCTTCCCATGTGGTCCCATATTAATTTCATTGGTATTGTATCTTGACCTGTGGAGATACAGAACTCTTGAAAATCAATTATAAAATGACTACAGAGCGAGGTTTGAAGTCGGTTTTGTTTTTCATTATAAAAAGAAATTGTTTTTGAAATTTACCTCTTTTGGCCCATTTGGGGAAATTTATCAGAGTGTTACACACAAAGGTAGATTTATCGACTAACTTCATGGTAATATTCTATGTGGTAACTACGCCACAGAGCTCAACTTTTTATCAGCATCATGCTTATACTCTACTATCACCAGGTGATGAACTGGTATCGGCCATATTGAGACCCTTGAGACTGGTGGCAAGTTTGTGGCCTAAAGGGGTAAAATTAGTTATTGCCACCACCACCACGGCCACTTGAATACCACTGCCTTAACGGCTTTCTAAAGGACAAAAGTGGGATATCGCACTGTAGACTAGACTGTTCCATGTAAGCACGATTCGATACACGGCAAACTCTTGCACGTCACTGGGATTCCAAAATGACCTTAACAGCCGAAGCCCTACTTTCTGAGGTTGGTTAGCTTTGACTATTTTGATCGAATTGAAAACATTTGCAATTTACTAAATTGTGAATACTGACTACTTTGAAAACCCGTTAAAACGATCGCTATTGTTTGTTTTGGAAACAAATATCACAAATCATAACCTTCAAAACTCAGTGCGCCCTCGCTATTGTGTATAGAGAGAGCAATCAGATCCGTCGAGAGCAATTCGAACTATAGCCGCTAAGTGTCCGTGTTTCCTTATTAAGTGTTTGTATTTTACCGACGGTGGTTTATTCAAGGAATAAAGAGTTATTCACTGTATATCTATATACATATAATATGTGTATGTGTATGTTGATTTAGCGATGCCCGCACTTTCCTGGGCCTGGGCCTTTGGCGGTGAGTTGCGTCATCTGTCTTCGATGATTTTTTTTCCGTCCGTCGACTCGGCCCCCGGTCGCTTGCGGTTCCGAGATTGCGCGACGTCTCGTGAAAGAAAAATCATTAACATTTCGCAAGCGGCCCTCCCTTGATACATCGACGGGTACACGACACCGATATTCGGCTTGTATTATATGCGGTGCACCGATGGGCTAGTGGTCGTCGAGTCGGACTTGTGAATCGAGGTCGGCTGTTCGGTCCCAGAGACGTGCGTCGAAGACTTTGTTGTTTTTGATACCGTTTATTACTTCTTGCCTTTGAAAATCATTTGTTATGTTTTTTGTTTGTTGTTTACCGTTTGATATGCACGGTGTAAGACAGCAGGATAATTGATTCGGGCTCAAGTCAATGAAAGTTGGATAGCTTTCGCATCTTTATTTACCCGTCAGTAACACATTCATAACATTTTCAACTCATGGATGACATATAAGATGTTTTGCCTGTCTTGATTTCATTTCTTCGCGTTGTGCTAACAAGTACCATGTACGGATTAGGTTAATTTTCTGTATTTCAATACACAGTGACGGTTCGATCTTGAATAAGTGTTGATACTCTGTTATTAGTGTTATAAAAATCTGGATCGACCGGATTAAAACGGCTATGCATTTGTGTAAATTTGGTTTACATAAGTGCTTAAGGAAATTTTTCATAGACCGATAAATTTGTCTCAGCAGGTAAATTACCTTATTTATTTGTATTCTATAATGAGCTTTCTATACGGTGTTTAAAAATATTGGCAAATGTCTATCGAATGAAACCTTTGTGGTGAATAAATTGTACGTATGGCATATTATTGTTATATGGCATATAGTGGGTAACTCGGTGTCAGGCGTGTTAAACTTAAATGAACTTATTTTTCGATTGCTTGAAGCGATTTTATGTTTATGTTATATGTGTGTTCAAGTTTTAATGATGAGGCATTATGTCAACAAGTGTAAATAACAAAAGCATGAAACTAAACAGTTATGTACTCAGCACGAATTGATGATTTTCAACACACACTGTTTATTTTCCCATCCAACATAAAATAAACTTTTTAAGAATGTGAAAAATAATATTTATTTACGCGTTATATTACTAAGGGTTAATATTATTTATTTACATTAGTTTTCTTAAAATAATCATAGACATGGCTTAAAATGGAAGTATTATAATTTTGTGTTTGGTCTGTGATGTACCCGGTCCACCCTTTTAAAGGTTGGTAACATATTATTGAGACAAGTTTGCAACCCCATAACTGTCGTAGACGTCTATACAAGGGGATAATAAGGTTAAATACGAGTACAAACCCGCTTGATTGTTGCCTTCTCTAATTAAAATTAAAAGTGTTGGCTGCTACTTTCGTATTTTGTTAACAGTACATTTTATTGTAAGAGTCGATAACTGTAGAATGTGGACAAGACTGTATCCGTCAATGAGATATTTATAACTTACTCTAGCATCCTGGGTGTCGTGTCCGTTAAGATATTCGCCGTTGCCTCTCTGCGCGACCGCTTCTCCGACGTCCTTCTCGCCGCCAGTCAGCCTCAGGTCGTGTTTCAACGAGTACTCGTTCAGGTCACCGTTCCCAAGCGAGACGGTTGAGTTCAGAACACTTCCGCCGTTCTTGCCGTCAGCACCGTCCATTTTATATTCGATAATGCAATCTCTCGCATGCCTCAGCTCCAATCGGATGGTCCTAGTTATGTCGCCATCGATAGCTTTGTCACTAGCATCGCTCCCATCGCTGTTGGAAGCCTTTGCCGACTTCCGATTAGCGTCGTCTCGCCTGTCGTTCACTTTGAACTCGTTGTTGTTGTCGAACTTAACACCGGCGTCTTGCTCCTCGATGGATATGTAGTCTTCGTAGTTGGTCTTCTTCCGTTTGATTAGGGTGTCACTGAATATCTCCTCGACAGTGAGACTTTCCTGGGCCACGTCCGTGGCGTCGGTGCCGTCCATTTTGGTCATCGTCGCGCTGCGTCTAATGCATTCGGTCACATCGCGGCCACAGCTGGGGGTTATCTCGAACCATTGTCGGTTTAAGGCGGCGTAAATCATCGACAGATCATTATCTGCCGCTGACCGCTTTGCGCGGCCAATTTACAATGAGCCGCCAACGTGGAACTGCCCTTCAATTAGAAACGATTCGCCTAGGATCACGTTCGGCTGGTCGCTTGATTGTTATAGTGTTGGGTGAGTATCGTGAACTTTTACACGATTATTGTTCCGTCATTACGTTTTGTATGAGAATTCTATTTTCTACGGAGCGAACGTTCGCTCTCCCTCTCGTTCTTACCTATATCACTGTCTCACTTTTCTATTAAGGATGCTATTGTTTACTTGTTCGATATTGGAGCGTTGCGAAATTGCTTCTCATCTTCAATATGCGATTGGAATATTACGCTTTTATTATACAACTTACACTTTACAATGTCTACACTTTACAATTTTTGTATGTCTATTTCGTGATATGTATTTTGTTAAACAGCTCGTAGCACCCCAAGTAGCACTTAAAAAATGAGTGAAACTGAAACTAATGGTCACTAAAGCGCTACTTTTAAAACAAACAGCACTTATTATATTTATTTAAAAAAATATTTTAGAAAATTTATAAAAAAAAACAAATATCACAATTTCACTGTTCGAATTTGGAATTGCCGCGCGCCGGTGCAGCCACGTGAGATGGCGCGCGTCGCTCGGGGCTATCACATGGAGTGGGCACAAGTAAGACCGCGCCGTCGAGACATGATAAAGACGGGGAGAGCGCAGTATAAGCTCATAATTCAGATAAAATATAAAAGCTCCGTAGAGTTGATTAAATTAAAGAAAGATTAAATGTGAACCATTTCGTTTTCCTTGCACTTTCGTCTTTTACTGTCGATTATTGTAGATAAAAAAATAACAAAGGTTATTTATTCACTAAATTCCAAAATATTAATCTGTATGCTACAAAAGGAGTAACAAAAACGTTTTAAAGTGAATTTTTAAATGCATGGATATCGAAATGATTTAAGATGTCACCAAGAAAAGTTCCATCAAGCAACGTGTTCGATCCCCACAACAGCCATTATATATAATTTAATATTTGTAAAGCCTCTTAAAATTAGGATTCTTCCCCAATACGCGAGTGAATTTCACAGTTATATAAGTTTATGTTATATAAGTTTATGTTTTATAAGAACGAATTAGAAAAAACGGCATCCGTCAGAATTCATCTGAATTTTTGAGCTATACACTACACGAAAAGCTTCCTTCTCGCACTACGTCGCGAATCTATAACATTGTTTCTTTCATATACCAGTTCGATTGTATGCTGCGTTTGTGTGCGCAAGTAGGTCATGTGGTTACGCAGCGCGCTAGTGTGCGTTTAATAATTTACGTGCGTGCATTTTGACTGGCTTGTCATTAGGGCCACATTTTACGATATTAAAGTTGAGAGTTGGTGTCTTTTAATTTTGGCTTTTATGACTTTTTAATTTTAGGATACGTCAAAATGAATTGGTTTTTAGACGCGAAGCTTTTTGTAAACTGTATATGCATATTTTTCTGTATACAATATACAATAGTATGTACCCTCTGGTGTACTATACATATCTTAAGAACTAATTTGTTTAAATTTGTTTTTTAACCCATTGTTTCTCATTGTTTTCAGCGTACTGTTTTCATATACGATTATCTACAATATAGCATTAATCTCGCAAACTATCCGCAGAGCTTTTCACTTCTTGTTAGCCTTTGAAATTAGAAATATAAAATTAAAATAGTAATACATTTCGCAGTTAACAAAGCGATCCAAGAACTGTTCAAAAATGTACAGTGTCAAACCGAAATGCTCATTTTTATCCCAACAAGGAAACTAGAGTGCTTCCTACATCGTAAACGATCGTCTGGACGAATCTAACATACATAACGTTATCGCATAAAGCTCTGCTCATTTGAGTTATTCTTTTAAGTGCAATGTATGATACCCTTGTCTTAATCGTCTCTCGGTGCGCCTTAATCGATTTCGAGCATCGATTATACTAACGTTAATAACTTTGAACTATTGTCTAATGATGTTTTGAGAGCTCATTATTACTGAACGGTACTCTGTGACGTCTATTGTACTCAGCTAGATCTTACCCTTCACTTGTAAAGAGATATTAATAAGTAAACACACATCAATTGTTCGTTCCAAATAGTTAAGGAATTACTGTAAATTTGAAGTACTACTCCAATGATTACTCATTTAAAAGTGCAAAAGTTTTCTCTTACTGTAATTTAGCTCATTCTCTAATCTCACAAATAAGACTTCTTTTCCTGATGCTATAATATGTAAAATGGCATATTGGCATAGTGGCCCATTACTACTTAAAATTCACCCGTCTACTTCTATGTCATCTCAAGATGTTTTATTTTGTCTAAAGACATTACTTACTCAAAATTTAAATTTCGACCTAAATACGTGAGATGTTTATGCTGTTCTATATTCAATAAAAACCAACTTAAAAGTCTTGTTAAGGTGATTATTTAAATATTGTTAATATTAAATTAAGTCCTACGTTAAAATCGACACATATTGATTATACACATTTTTTGCAGTCCAATAAAAAAAATCTATTTGAAATTACTTAACTCATTTTTTTTATTTAACTCATTTTGGTGACTTCACCTTGCCTTTTTCAAGTTGAGCATTCCAAAACTTATGAAAAATTTGAGCATAACATTTTTGTACTTACAAAAATACTAAAATTATTCAGTTTTCCAGCCGTTTCATTTATAAAAGTTTTTATTTAACTATTGTGGTGTAAGAAAAGTAAGCTAATCTCTTACTTTTTAAGTTCTCTTAAAAAACAATGGATAGAGCTTTTACACGCTTACTGCTTAGTTCATTAAAATTCTAACAGCACTTAAAGACACACGAACCAAGAAACATTCATTCGCGGTTTTCTAAATGGACGTAGTGTATTTTAAAGAACAAAAGACTTCAACGAGCGCGGTCAGAGGGTCGCTCGAAAATGAAACACGTTAAAAAGCTTGTTAGTTATTTCTCCCACGCACTCAAGCGAAAGAAACGTGTTTAAAAAGTAATAAATATTTCTAGACGTTTCACGAATATTTGGGTGAGCTGAGTGATGTAAAATCTATTAAAGTTATAAGGTAATTGCGCTTATGCAAAGAATCGATTCACGTTTAATTTAAAAGCGATATAAATGAAAGCTTACTCTTCAAGTAAACCACCGCAGTGGAAAATTGTAAGACATTACTAGAAGTTACTGCCACGAAGCAAGACATTGAGCTACCTGAATTCATCAACATCTGGAAAAATTTTAAGGGGCAAACCTAAAAGGCCGGCAACGCATTTGTAAGCCCTCTGGTGTTGTAGGCTGGGTAATTAATAAGACTTAGGTATTATAGCAGACCTTCCTCAATTAAAGCCTATCTATGCTATAAAGGCGTTTTATTTCCAAAAGTCGCTATTGGATTGATAGGTGAAGAAGCAAATCAGAAAATTTTGCTATCGCTCGGCAATATTGTTAAATTTTCATCAGTTAAAGTTGAAAAATGCCAAATATACCGAAGACGTGGGTTCGATTCCCACAGCGGCGACAATCTTTTTGTACTTTTTCTACATGTTTTAATGTTCAATCTTAAGTGCAGAGATTAGCACTATAAAAAACTTTAAAAATTTATATTAATACAAATCAGTAGGAATAAATCCGTATCATTATTTTTACGTGTGAAATCTCTCTAGATATAAACTTTTTAATATAAGGGTTTAATTTAATTCATGAAATCGATGATGAGGAATCAAGAGTAGTATTATTATTTATTTAATTCAAAAAATGGCTAGCACTTGACTGCCATCCCACCTGATGGTAAGTGGCGATGCAGCCGTTGATGGTAAGCGCGCTAGCTCAGTAGAAACCTATTCACTCTTGTATTGAAGACGCCAACGTAGAAGCATTTATAAGTCATTCTCTATCCGTACAAAACAAAACGTAACAATTTTCATGACAAGTTAATTTCAAGTGGTGGAATTTTTTTTTTCGGACCCACTTTCCGAATCTCGTGTAGATGACATTTTCTATTAATATTAGAAAAATAAGGAAGTAATTTTACATTCGTAAACATAATAGGTTTAGAAAGTTACTGACATGGGCAGATGTACTTTGTATCATTGTAATAGTCGGTGGGCGTTGGTGTCGTATGGTTGACATGTCAACAAGCAGCACTCGTGTCAATAAAAGAAAAGTGTTGGTCCAAGTTGTATAAGTGCGCGACTCTACGATACTTGCCACCTACGATCACTTCAAGTCACTTGCTAGGGTCAACAATGTTAACTCGGCATGTGACCTTTTTTCACTAACGGTATCGGTCATTTACTGCTTGCCAACGTTGAATCGTAAGCCGTAATTAAATCTATATGTAAAAAATCATTTAGAGTATCATATAATAATAGAGCTGTGGTAGTGATTTTAATTAATATTCACTTAACAATTTTTATTTCATAAAGCATGGCGATCACAGTCTACGCCTAGATTTGATATAATGACGTGTAATGTAAATTTTAATTTGTATAATTAATTTTGTAAATGTTTGTAAAATATATATGGAACATTTATTTCTATTTATTATTCAGCACTTTGTTAACTCTTTATTTAATTGAATGTGAAGGCAATTTAAAGTTCATGGTAAAACATTTAAATAACAGAGATTTAAGATATATCGATTGTTTTGTTTTTTAATTATTTCTTTCCATATAATGTTTATATGAAAGGCAGGCGGTTCACCTGATATTAGGTACAGGTGAATTGTCGATCCTTATAAATAGCAGGTCCTGGTTAGTCCTAATTAACGAAACGTCAAAGTAAGGTTCTATTTCACGTTGGTGTTCTGTAAGGCTGTGGAACTTCCCCGAACGACCCTGCTCATTCGTGCAACAGTGAAAGCTAATGCGTGGCTCTACAACAGTGAATGTTATAAAA